ATCCTTCCTATCACATAACAAACATCCTACGGACATACGTATCTTCTTAAGGATGTCCCTTAGGTGAAACAGTATATCGCTAGGATATACGCTATGTCTCGTCAGATATCCCGAGAATGATTTACGGACGTCCTTGTGCTATTTGGGTACTTTTCGGGATGTCCAAAATTTTGCTGCTAACGCGTTTTATTGGAAACACTTATTTTTGGTATTTTATTCATTCTGGCTAGGAGGTTCTTCACTTTATCCACCCAATTTATTCGGAGCAAACGCCGATACACCCACATCTCGAACGCCTTCAGTCGTTTCATCGCATTGTCACTAAGGGTCCATGCTTCCATACCATACAACAAGGCGGGGAATACGTAGCACTGGACCGTTCTCATTTTAAGATTTAGGGATATATCGTGATTACACACGGCTTTCTTCATCCTTATGAACGTTGCTAGGTGAGCTTATTGACTTTTTCTATCGGCATTGAAGTGACAAGAATACCGTCAGATATCCCGAGGACGTTTTACGGAAGTCCTTGTGCTATTTGGGTTGTTATTGCAAAATTTACATTTCATTACTCTCCTTCGCATTAAGAAACATAGTGTATAACCTAAGATTTTCATTTAATCTCATCTCTCGTCCGTCAAACATTTCACTCCCCAAACGCTTTTAAGCGCAACTCAAACTTCCAACCAGCCATTGAAATTCAAATCGACGTCAACGTCATTTTAACAGCCGAACAATACCGAGAGTAGCGAGTTTCGAGATCATTAATTAGGTGAATGGGAAGAGGGCGTTGCATCAATTCCATCAACAGTGGAGACTCTGACGAACGTCGTCGTCAGTATTTATTTCTACGATCGAACTTTTTCGGTCGGTTTTTGTAGGCCAAAAGACTCAAGGGCCATTAAAAATTAATAACCGTGTAACCCCTTCTATGCCGCCGACGAAAGCGTAAAACTTTGCCTTTATACCAGAAGTTTGGAAAACTTTTTGATTTTTTATTTAATATCCAATTATGTATAAGGAGGATGGCCCATTCTGGAGGGGCGCGTTTCGAGGTAACGGTTTTTCGAAATACCTTCGCATTTTTGGGCCCGTTTAAAAAAGAAAGTACTAGGTGGGAAGTTTTCAAAAATAAAATATATTTTTTTAGTATCTCTATCACTAGATATTTTGTACGGTCTTCGCTTTGAAAAAAAAAAACCTTTTCCGCATGGTCACATCAAAGTCATTGTCTATCTGTTTTATAAAAATACTTCAAAAAATTGAGGTACGAATTCGAAATATAACCTCTGAGAAGTATTTTTGAACTCTCTATACTTATTTCTTATCATTGTAGTAGCAACTGCACAAATTGTGTTGTCAAGGCAGTTGTTTGACAACAGTTTTCAAATACGGTTTTTTGCGTCTTATTGATTTGGAGTTTAAAATGGGCGAGCATTTTTATTTTTAAAAAATGGACGAGCTGGACTAATGAGGAGTTGGCAGATATGCGTTTTACGAACGGACGGTGTAGCTTATAGCATACCAAAGAAGCGAACATTCCACTATACGATCTGAAAACTCATAGAGTTTCGTATAAAAGTTTCTTGGACTCTCCCGAAGATTTAAAATGTTATAATTTTGTTGATACAGGGTGTCCCCGAAATCAACTTTGTTATTTTAAATGAAACTTCCTGTATATTTCAACATTTTTGGAACGATTGGTCAAAGTAAAGATCACTCTCTCAAGCAACTCTTATTCGAATTTTGCATAGTTTAGGCAGATTTTTTTTTCATATTTTTCATAAATTGTATTGTGACGACACTGGTCCACCCATTGCAACAAAAAATTCACCACAGACTAAGGAGATGATACACTACAAATAGATGGTGCCGTTTTGGCGAATTCAATTAACAAAATCTCAAGACTTTCATATGGAACACCCTATATTTTTATTCAGATAATAATTCTAGGATAAAAAATAAGCTTGACAGATGCGCCTCAGGGGCCATAGAACTGTATGAACTGCCAATATTACTAGAAGAAGTGCCATATTTAATTAGGAAGAGCTTAAGGATCGTAAACAAAACAAAATTATTTTGAATTTAATGGACACATTTTCATCTCTAAGGAAAGTTTTATTATGGGAAACCCGCTTAGTCCTTTGTTAGCCGAGATTTTTATGGATAATTTGGAAAATATCATACTAGAACATCCTTAAAGTAAAAATTTTCTATGGTGGTATAGATACGTGGATGATGTCTTTGCTTGCTTTTTTGCAACGGACAGACAATTGAAATCTTTTTTAAATTACATACAACTTATTACATAATCGTATAAAGTTCACTATCGAGATTGAACAGAATAACTCTATTAATCAACTATTACGAAAACGCAAAAGAAATTGGATTTGTCCATTTACCATAAACCTTCACACAAGGACATAATCACACATAGCAGCAGCAAAGCACATTGGCTGCATTTCACTCTTACATACACAGGCTTCTTAATACGCCACTCTCAACAGAAAATTACAACAAAGAACTTAATTCCATTAAACAAATTGCACTGAACAACAGCTACAATCCGTCCATTATCGATAAAATTATAAATAAAAAACAAATCCAGACAACAGTAAACTCTATTTATCCGAAACCTAATACACAACACGAACAACTTAAAACAATTACATATAAAGTTAGCGCCCGGCCTGACATAGATGCAGCTCCAGTATCACGATAAAAATTTGTCTTCTTTTAAATATATGGCAGTGGGCTGCGAAAAAAAAGTCTTGCGTCAAATAGTTTTTTATTGACAGCATTTTAAACAAGACGTGTCCGAAAAAATGTGGCAAATAACACAAATTGAGTATAGAGCAGTCATAAGGTCTTTGACAAAAGAAGGATTAGCACCTAAAATTATTAAAGAACCGCTAGATGGTGTGTACGGCCAAAGTTTTCCTTCATATTCGGTTGTGAGAGAATGGACAAAACGTTTTCGAATGGGGCAGGAGTCCCTTGAATATGATTCAAGAACTGGTCGACCAGTGGAGGTCATAACTGAAGATATTGTTGCGATTGTGGAAGAGGTGGTATTGAGTGATCGACATTTAAAGGTCAAGAAAATCTCAGAAATTACTAAGCTTTCTGATACAAGTAAGTGTTCGTCGAATCCATCATGATCATTTAGGTATGCATAAGGTTAGTGGGTTCCTAAAAACCTTTCGGTTATTCAAAAATAACGCAGTGTCGAGTGTGCGCGGTCTTTTTTGGAACTCTGTTGATCGGAACCGAAGCCTGTGATAGAAACTATTGTGACGGGACATGAAACTATGGTTCTCTATTATGACTCTCTATCGAAAAAAGAATCAATGGAATGGCGTCGTAAGAGTAAAGCACCTTCAAGAAAATTCAGAGTCTGCCAGTCAACGAAAAAGGTGATGGCCACGATCTTTTGGGATTGTGAAGGAATTCTTTTGATAGATTTTAAAGAAACTAATACCACTGTCAGTGGTAAATATTACGCAACATTATTACATAAATTGCGAGACTGTATACGCGTAAAACGTAGAGGAAAACTGACCATAGGCGTGTTTCCATCGCATGATAATGCACCTGCCCATACTGCTAGTGTTGCACAAGCTGCCATTTTAAAGTGTGGGTTTCAAGAGATCCTGCCTATAGTCCAGATATGGCCCCCAGCGACTATTATTTGTTTCGATATTTGAAAAAGGACTTACATGAACGGCGGTTTAACGACGAAGTTGAGTTAAAATAGGCTGTTTTAGCTCATTTTGAAGACAAACCAAAAGAATATATTTTTAAAAGAATTGAGTTATTAATAAAGAGATGTAATAAGTGTATTACAGTTAAGGGAGATTATACTGAAAAATAATAACAAATTGTTACTCTACTTTGTTTCTTTCATATTCAGGCCGTTAAATTTTGGCGCTGCCCTCGTACATAGGAGAACCCAGTGAAAAAGTTTCAAAACATTTGTCAAATGTGATTTAAAAATAGCTTTCAGAATTAACAACACAATAGGAAAATTTTTAAAAATCAATAAAACGAAATTTCCAAAATCTCAAAAATCAGGTGTCTACAGGTTGAAATGCGGATCTTGTCCTAAAATTCATATTGGACATATAGGCAGATCCTTCAATAAACGCATTAATGAACATAAAAGAGCGTTTAGAAACAATAGTCTAGATTCTAATTATGCTACACACTTAAACACAGAAAAAACACATTTTTGACGACAATTTTGATATTTTACATACAACCACAAAAAGTAGAAAATTATATTTATTGGAAGCCATGGAGACTAACAAAATGAGACATTCAAAACTATTGCTTAACGCTCAATTAGATTTAAATACCTCCCCATTATTAAGGTTTTATTGTCATTTTTCAGTATATTTAGTAGCAGGTAGTTTGTAAATATTAAATTTGACAAAGATGCCGCGTTCTTATTAATTGTATAAAAGCTTCCTGTGATTTAATAAGAAACATTGGAGGTATACTTCAAAGAGTGGGCGCTAATATGAGAAAAAGAGCTGAAGCGTGTATATTTCAAGGTCATACTGCCAAAAACTTATTTAGTTTCAATGTTCAATTTTTTTCAAAAAGGTTACGTTATATTATGTGATGTTATGTTATTTAATTAAAAATGTAAAAGTAAAAAGGATAGCCTTCTAATTTTTTTCTGAAGGACACTAGTTAATAATTAAAAACTAGGTATTTTGTTTTAGATAGATAGTTCTCGATTTGGCCAGTGCACTGACGACTTAATTAACCAAAACGCTATTATTTGGTCATAGACAGTCAGTGGTACGCCACTGATTTTTTTAGTACGTGTAATTTCACTGCGTGTTGTCATATTAACGATGTTGTTATGAACACGCAGAGAAGAGATTTTTATTTTTTTAAGCGGAAACCTTACGTCGCAATGAAAAAAATCGAGAATATAAATTTCTATAGAAATTATTGAAGTTTGTAAGAATAATTTTCATTTGGAGAGAAACCAGTGACTGTGTTGATTTTAAAGAACTTGGGGATGCTTTGCACGCTTCTGGAATAAAGGGTAAGCCTCTAGACTGGACCAGTAGTTTTTTAGAAGTTCGTTCTCAATTTCGATCCCTTAAGTTTTATGACGGTAACAGAATGGAAAGTGTAAATTCAGCTAATCAACGCATAGAGATGGGTGTCCCTCAAGGTTTAGTTTTAGACCTTGTACTCTTACCTGATACGGTTTTTTTTTATGTATCCAGATAATCGTTCCTTGGTGTTGTCATGTAGAAATGACGATGACCTCTCAGAGAAGTACTATGGGGTACGATATAGATATAGATTGGTGACATGGTGTGGAAAAAGTAGTCTACATTTCAACGCAAGTAAAATCCAAATAATAAGGTTTCATTATTCAGTAGGTATCCTGTGAGGTTTCTACGACTGAGTTTGTATGAATGTTTAAATTGGAAATCTCATTGTCATACATAGCGTAAATTATATTTTTATAAATCTTCGTGAGATTTGAACTAGGCAGCAGTTGCTTAATTTACAATATGCGAAGGTGCAGTCCCGATTACGTTATGGGATCAATTTGTGGGGAGCATCTGGAAATGCCGATACAATATTTTTAGCTCAAAAACGTATATTAAGGAGCATTGCGCATATTTCCAAGTTTACATCTTGAAGGGGTTTATTTGCCTAGTACAAATTTTTCACACTTGTGAGTCTATTGATTTTTGAAATGTCATTACATGTCTTAGGTATTCGTATTATTACCAATCTGCAATTGGAGTTAGGAGACAAAAGTTTAAAACTTCATCTATTTAAGAATCGATTAACAATATTTTTGTTATCTAAAACAGTTTGTAGTCTAGACAAATTTTTTCGTATACAATTTTGTAGTTGTCTTTGGGAAAATAAATATTATAATTATCACCATTATTACAATGTCTGCCAAAATGAACTGCTGTATTTTAAAGAAATTGTGGTATACAAAATAATATGTAAGGTGGTATTTTGGAATTTGGAATTTGAATTGTGCCTGGGCCCTATGAAGGACAATTCGTGAGTTAAGAGGGAGTGTAGAGGAGACCGACAGCCGAGGCATAGCGAATCAACCTTCCAAGACCCACTTCCAGAACGTTGATACTATTTCCCGTGTTCACTCCCTTCTCGTATCGGAGTTCGCTGAGTGGTTCACAGTCGACAAGTAAATGCAGAGGAGTTTCATCCGCTGCGTTGCATCTTGGACATAATACATCTTGTATGAAGCCAATGTGGCTAAGATGCTTTCTTGTTGACCAGTGTCCGGTTGTCAGCTCAATAGTCAGCCTCAGGTGATTCCTGTTGAGTCCGATAAGGCTGGAATCAAGAGTCCTGGACGGCCCCTGAAAGACGGCTTTAGTGTGTCTCTTAATGAAGCTGTCGGATACTGGGGTAGGAGAGATAGGTAGTGTACTTGTGAGACAAGCTCCACTTTCTGCTAGCCTATCTGTCCTCTGGGATTCCACAGTGTCCTGAGACCCAGACGAGTGTAACGTGATTTGCCTTAGCAAGCCTGTCAAGCATCTCAGTGCAATCTCGGATCATCCTTGAGGTGATTTCGACTGACATGAGCGACTTGAGGACTACACAGCTGTCGCAACAGATATATATGTGTTTGTCCCTGTAATTTAATATGTCTGGCACAGGCCCAAATCGCACACATTGCTACTTGGAATATGGTGGTCATGTGTCCCAGTTTTATAGTTTTCTCTGTATGCTGTTTCTGTTCCTTTCTGTGTCTTGGACCCGTCTGTGTACCAAATGAGCCACTAAGGTTTCAGGAAGCTTGGGGAGTTCTCTGCCCAATCCTGCCTATTTGAGAAGATTACTCTGAAGTTGGTTTTGAAGTGGTAGGCTCTTGAAGCTGCGATCACCACTCAGGATCAGAACCTTCTCCAAATACTTGTCCCTAAGTATATCTGAATGTCCGTAAACCGCCTTGCTCCAAAAGCCATTGAAGTGCTGCCTCATGGCAGTTTTTTTCGCCTAGGGGGGCTTAATATTTAGTATAGCTCCCATAGCCAGGGTGGGCGCAGTATAGACTCTGTTTAATGCTTTGATGTTGGTTTGCCGCAATGTTATCATATTTTGTATTTGATAAAAACACGCTGTTGCGGAAACAGCTGTCATAAACCAATAATCTGAACATTCGTTGTTCTAATTTAATTGTATTCACGTTAATCGTACGTTCAGGTCGACGCGGTGAATCGTTAATTTGTTTTTCTGAATCTATCCCTTTGTTTTCATTGGTTATCGGTCGTTAACTTCGATCCCTGTTGGCACGTCGACCAGCACGCACTACCACGGTTTCGTGAATAACTTTGGGAAATTCACCGACGAAAGTATTCTCATTACTTTTCGAGCCCCGAATTACCGCCGATGGTTCGTTTTAAGATTTACGGCAAATCCCGGTTTATTTACCGTTATCCCGCGGGATAATAATAAGGAGTCGTTTGTTGTTTGCTCCTTTACTAGTCGAAATCGTGCCCAACTCAATGTTTACCTTCTTTGGGATCCGAGACTGTGAAAAATACCAATGACTTGCGCTCCAAATCGAAATTGCCTTTTAAGTTTACTTTTGATTTTTCGCCGATTATAATAACAAGAATAATTTTTTTAGAAGACAATTTCATCTTAAGAACTATAAATACAACTGTAATAAGAAGTCAACTAAGTTCACTTTAACACGACAAAAAAATAAGTCATTCAATCATTTCATCAACTGATAGAGAGGACTTGTGATCAAAAAATTGGTTCTTGGAGTTAGTAGGTGAAATACAGGTAATGCTTTTACAATCCTTGAAGCAACGTGAAAGTTCAGCTGCCTCAGCAACTCGGAGCAATCCACTAATGAATTGCAAAGTTTATATAAAAACTGAAATGAACAATGAGGGAACCTTAACCATTAGTAATAAATCACTCTATCACAGTCCCCTAGCCGGGTACATAACTATAATGTAACAGTTTCAAAGTATGTTTCCTTGTAAAATCTCTAGAATTTCTCACTATGAATTCCAGCATTTTGGGTGCACCTCCACAAGCTTCATCGACGTGATTTCTGAAGGAGAGTTTTGAGTCGAACTTTATAACCACGTCTTTAAAATTGTCACATTTTCTTAATAATACGCAATCCAGATGGTAATTAAAAGTTATATAATCAGTTTTCTTTGAAAATATCATTGCAAAACGTTTATCATTCAAATCATTCTGCAGAGACCACACTATCATCAGCAAAGAGCAAAATTTGACTATCAATGTTAATGTAAAGGAAGAATATCAATGGCACTAAATTGCTAACCTGGGTATTTTAGATTTATTAGTTTCAAGGGGTTATGCTTTCCCCATTGGACAATTTTTGTTTTTTTGTAATTTTCTTTTTAATTTGAATTTAAATTACTCCAAAATTTTTAAATCCGAAAACAATACAAAGAAAGATATCCTATAAATGATTGTAATTGAAAAAATAAAAATGCCAAGACAGACACCAACAATCTTAGTAAATTATTTTGCACATTCCTTAAATAATAAATTTCCTCGTCTAACGCAGTGCATTAAAACATTTTTATGTTGTTTTATTTATTATTTTTACATTTACTAACCAAAAGATTTTATAGTCTAGATGTTTTTTTTTTGAATAAATGTTTTAGATATGTCTACTAGCTACTACTACTAGATAAGTAAAAGACCTAAACATTTGTATTAAATAATCTTAAAACAAATAAAACCATTGCGTACGTAATTAAAACTCCGTAGGATAGTTGATTACGTCATCAAGGTTTATTGCAGTATCAACTGATTTGAATATGGGGTAATAAAAATAATAAATACTATGCAAAATTCGAATAGTAGTTTCTTAAGAAAGTGACCTTTTAACCAAGGGTTCCAAAAATGTTTTCCATTTAAAATATAAAAGTTGCTAATGGAGGGGTGGGGGGGACACAAAATTATAATATTTGAAATCTTCAGGAGAGTCCAAGAACCTTTTGTACGAAACTTCGTATCTCCTATGGGTTTCCACATCGTATAGTGGGTCGTTTTATTTGGCACACGGTGTACATAGGTATGTAGGTACTAAACAACAAAGCACAATATTATTACTTATCAAAAGCTGCGATAAAGTATTTTGCAAATCTATAACACTTTTAATGTTTTTAATTTAGTACACACTACACACTCCAACTTAAGCAATGGATAATATTATTTAAAATTCAAACTACAATAAAACTGACGTTAGAACGATCCACGGCTATCTTGATTTGGCCATTTACAAAATTCGAGCAATCATATCAGGAGATTTTCTATTGTAAGTTTTTTTTACATACGAACTTGAACAATTGGAAAATATGAACTTATGGAATTCATTTCTAAAAAAAATGGGGCCGATAAATTCTATCTGTAAAAATTTGAACGTTTTGAACATTTTACTGTTACAAATTAAATTCTGGAAAACTTGGACTTGGTCACTTTCTCTTGTATACCGACGATATAATAACGAACCAACGCATTTAGCGGCTTTGTGCGTGTGAGACCGAGTCAAAAGTACAATTCTACGCGAGCCGCCTTTGAAAGGAAGCGGCGGCCGGCGTTAAAGCTTTGTCGCACGAGAAACGCGGGAGTTTCGAATTCCCAAGGGTCCCGCGTTCTTACATACGTAATAAGGCGAGAGCAAAGAGATCGTCGACGTCGACAAGGCCGCCCGCGATTGTTCCAGAAACACTTTAGCAGTAGTTAAAAGACCACTTGGGTAAATAATATGTTTGTTGTGGGAGAAAGTTGAGGATCGGTTTTGCCGTGGAGTGCCTCACTCTCTTGACGCAAAGCATAAGTGAGTTTTAACTTCGAAATTCCGCGGCTATTATTTCCAAAGACTTTTTTGGCGGTGCCGCGCTAAGTGCAGAATAGCCGAGGCGTGGACCATCCGTTCTCGATAATATTTTAATTGGCTATAATTTTTTTGTTTTTAGAGATATCAAAGTAAACAAAAAAAAAACGCAATGTAGGGTTAAGTTAAGGTTTTCTAACGAAGGA